GCCAGAGCTGCCCAAGTGTAACCAAAATGAGACTAAAACCCCTTAAATCGTAGTGTGAAATGGAAGGCAGAGGCCTGCTCTGCAAGGACATGGCCCCTGTCCTGCTGACATGGCTCCTGCTGCTGTTGGACACGGTTCCTTTTCCCAGTGCTCTCCCATTTCTGCTCGAGGTTTTAAGCAGAGGGAGGATGTTCACTCCTCAGGAGTGAAACTCTGCCCAGTAAAACACAGCCAGGACATGGGGAAATCCAGCTATGCCCATTTTATTTAAAATCAACACAATATTGCATCCTGAGATTACACAAACCCCAAAAATCACTCTAATACACACGCTTGGGCAGAATTCCTGCCTGTGTCTGGCCAATGCTATAAATTATATTAATGAATTATTTTTGATAAAACCTGTTATCCTACAGGCAAGTGACCTCCCTATTGATGAAAAGGGCAAATAAACCCTACCTCATAATGCAGGGAGGAAACAGGCAAGAGAAACACCAAACGGACTAATGACAGGTTTGTGTCTGTGTTCTCCTCCTGGTACCAGTATCTGTGGAACATTCCAGTAAGTCTAAGCCACTACTTTTAATACTCTGTGATCTAAAAATCTGATCTATTTGGCAAGACTGCAGCTCTGCTGCTGAGGGTGGAACATGGGAGAGATAAACAGGCAAGAGTTTTGAAATTCACACTGTAAGCATGGGGCTGCAGGAATCCTGAACCAGTACACAACCCTGAACCAGTACACAGCCCTGCACCAGTACACAGCCACACACTAAAGCAAAACGTGTTCTCCTCTGTACTAACATGAGCCTGGAATTCTCTGCACGTCCCTTCCCCTCCACTACTGACCCAGAGCACACTACAGACCACTTGTTTATGTCTCGTATTAATTTAGTTTTCCACCATTGTATAACTTCTGAACTCAGAAGGTGAATGGATTTTAACCTGCCACCCAGTTAGATGTTGGGGAAATGGTAGTTGGAGTTCCTGGGCTTGCAGCAGCACTTCTTGCTCTCCAAGGCTGGCAGAAGGTTGCTGCTGGTTAGCTGAGGGAGGTGCTGTAACAGAAAAAGGAAACGTTCTGTGGTGTGTGTGTGTTTCAAAGGAGAACAAAGCTGCACTGCAGCATAACCTATAAAACATTTGTACTGTTACCCTGCACTGTTCAAACCAAGTCATGGGTCTGGGGCTCTGCAGCTGGACTGCAACCAGAACACCTCATAAAAGGACAAGAAAAACAGGAGTTCTATCCTGTGTCAGACACAGAAGAGGAGAATAGCTTGATCCACGGATTTGGGTGCTGTAGCAGCTCTCCATCCCAGAGGTGCATGCTCTCACCCTGCACTGCCAGCAGGAACTCACCTCCTGGGGCCAGACAGAGAGAACCAGCCCCCCCCCCAGGCACACAGCTAAAATCTCCTGTGGAAACGTTACCCCTGGTACATGCTTCCGAGTCAGCCTGGCTGGTCTCCGAGCTGCCTTCTCCTGTTCCTTCCCCAGTTCTGCTGCCTCCCTGATGCTGTCAAAATAGGGATGCTGCAGCAGCTGCTCACAGGTCTGCCTCTCTGCAGGGTCCATGTGAAGGCAACCCTTAAAAGAGGAAGTAAAAGATCATAGAATCACAGAATCACTTTGGTTGGAAGAGACCTTGAAGGCCAAGTGCAACCGTTCCCCAGCACTGCCAGGTCCCCACTGCCCCGTGTCCCTCACACCACATCTCCACGGCTTGGAAACCCCTCCAGGGGTGGGGACTCCACCACTGCCCTGGGCAGCCTGGCACAGCCCTGGACAACCCTCCAGGGCAAGAAATTGTTCCTAACATCCAACCTCAACCTCCCCTGGGGCAACTTGAGGCTATTTCCTCTTGTCCTATCACTTGTCCCTTGGGAGCAGAGCCCGACCCCCACCTGGCTCCAGGCTCCTGTCAGGAGCTGTGCAGAGCCAGAAGGTCTCCCCTGAGCCTCCTTTGCTCCAGGCTCAGCACCCCCAGCTCCCTCAGCTGCTCCTCACCATACTTGGCCTCTAGACCCTTCCCCAGCTTCACTGACCTTCTCTGGCCACGCTCCAGCCCCTCAAAGTCCTTCTGGGAGTGAGGGGCCCAAAACTGAGCCCAGGATTCGAGGGGCGGCCTCCGCAGTGCTGAGTTCAGGAGGAAAATCCCCGCCCTAGTTCTGCTGGGAACACTGGTGCTGATCCAAGCCAGGATGCTGGTGGCCTTCTTGGCCACCTGGGCATGTGCTGGCTCACACAGAACACACATTAAATGGGTCTGCACAATTCTGGCTGCTCACCACAGCACAGATACAAGCGTTAATCTTGTTTTTTAATGGGTTCTAAGAGTTTGGTTTCTCAGAGTCAGCATGAAGCTTGCTAAGCAGCACATACTGAGCAAATGCCACGAGGCAGTAACAGACTGTGGCTAGAGGGACAATGACTGTAAATTCTGTGGTAACATCAAGCCTCAAAACCCAAGTAAGCACATAACTTTCATCTGCACGAGAACAAGGTTCTTAAAACAGAGGAACCCACTACAGCTGAGCTGTTCCAGCACTCAGCTTAACCAACACTATCCACAGCTGCACCTTCTTTGGAATGTCTCCATCCTCCCCATTTCCTTTCACTGCATCTCAGTGAGGGAACAACATGTTTTCCACCCCCATGGTAAAGATGAGTGGATTAGAGAGGGGTGGATTAAGACCTCTCCAGATCCCCTCCAATGAATTTCTGATAATTGAGTAGCAAACTCTCAAACCATTTACCAGCTGCCAAGCAAACCAGTCTGTTTTTGGTACATCTCAGTGCAGAGCACCTCCACCAGCTGTAGGTCTCTTACCTTCATGAGAGCCAAAGCAGAGTATGAAATACTAGGGAATTTCACTTCTAATGGCTCCTGGTGGGGAAAAGATTAAAAAAACCACAGTGAGCGTACTCGTACTGGTGAGCAGTTCACTCTGCAGGGCTCCAGGAACCATCACTCCACAGCAGGGGGACCTGGGCCTCACACAATGGAGCTGGCACTGGGCATGCCCGGGGGAGCTGCCCAGCACTGCTGAGGGGGGCAGGCTGGCTGCTGTGCACCAGGAGAGGGGGGAAGGAGCAGAGATTAAGTGTTTGTCTGACCTTTACACAGGCTGTCAGTTCAAATGTCGTGAGAGTGGCTCAGCCACCTCCAAATAATATTTTAGTTTACATTGGCAAAGCTTTTGGATAGGGAAAAAGTGTCTGTGAATCAAAGGGCTGGTGAAGCTGAGCACGAGAGGCTTTGCCAGCTGGACAAAGCAGGCAGCACGTGTGTGCTGGATAAAGGAAGCAGTAATGTTTCTCTGTCCCCACACCCTGTCTCCTTAGCACTGCAGACAGCCTGTCCCTCACTGCCAGGCTCAAGGGCAGGGTGTCTGGAGGCAGCTCTTACCATGCTCTCTGGGTCTGGAATTCTCACCCCACTGAAGAACTGGTTGGTGCTGAACACTTGCTGGTGCCTGGGAATAAGATCCCCTGTGATCAGAAAGAAAAAAAAAAACCACAAACCGAAAGTCAGATCCATTTGCTGGTTTTCCAGTGCCCACATTGAACAAGCTTATACCTTCTCACGACGCCAACACCATGGAGTCATTTTGGCTGGAAGAGACCTCCAAGATCATGGAGTCCAACCATTCCCCAGCACTGCCAGGTCCCCACTGCCCCGTGTCCCTCACACCACATCTCCACGGCTTGGAAACCCCTCCAGGGGTGGGGACTCCACCACTGCTCTGGGCAGCCTGGCACAGCCCTGGGCAACCTCTTTGTCCAGGTTGTGGAGTCTCCTCTGGAAAGATTCCAAACCTATCTGATGCCATCCTGGGCACCCTGCTGTGGGTGAGCTGCTGGAGTGTGGATGGACCAGATGATCTCGAGAGGTCCCTTCCAACCCCACCGTGCTGGGATTCCATCTGCTCTGTGCCAGCCCCTGTATCTCCACTGTGGGAGCCGTGTCTACGAGCAGGGGAACGTGCCTCAGCATCTGAGCTACAGGCTGCTGTGCCAACACCTGCCAGATCTGACACTCCAGAGGTGCCACCGCACCCAGCTTCACCCAGGGATCCCTCCCAAAGCGTTACAGACCTGCTCAGCAGCTCAGCCCCTGCTCCCATCAGATGAAGGGCCAGCCCTGGGTTCTGACGAGCAGCTGGCAGGGGCCACTGTCTGTTCTGGAGGTGGCTGCATGGCAGCATGGGCAGGCTCTGCTGGAGGGAGGGTAAGTAGAGCCCTGCCCTCCACACCAACGCCCTGTTCCAACGGCCTCAAAGCAAAAGGGCTCCCCAGAGGCAGCCTGTCTGCATAGAGTCCTGTCTTCTCTGACTGTTGGCTAGCCACAAGTGTTCCAGCTTCACTAAAACTGAACTCATACTGGGTGAAACTCTCTCTGTATGCTCCCGAGGGTGTTGTACAGAGCAGAGCTCAGCTCCAGCACCAAGGGGAACACGCTGCAGCTCTCCCCAGCTGCAGCTTCGTGGCTGTTTTTTGAAGCTTGGAGCAGCTCAGAGCAAGCAAAATGTTCAAATCAAACCCTAACAGAAGAGCTGGTACAACAGCCAAACCACCCTCAGGACACAGCTCTGGCTGAGGAGTTCTTCTTGCTAAGTGCTGCCTCCTTGGTCCAGCACCTGCACCAAAGGGAATTTCTCCTGGCTGAGGCCCTACCATTAAAAATTAATTTTAACTCACATCCAACACTGCCATAAATGTTTTCTGGAGGATGAAGGAATCTATGTTTAACTATTTTTCTAGCTATTTTTCTGTTTAAAACCATTAGTCACCTGTATAATTTGATAAACTACTCAGTAAAAATGACAATTCTCAGTTCATTCACTGCCTAGAGCCAGGGACCACTTTGCTTGTTACCCATCCCTGAAAAATACCTGGAACTCTCACACACTTATGCAAAATGTTCCTGGTGACTTCTGATGCAGGCACCTCATTTTTCTAGCTTTGTGGTGGTAGGTCAAGCTGTGGAAGGGGCAGCAGCAGAGGCAGGGGTTCTTCTTCCAGGAAGAAGAAACAAGCCTTTCCTCCCCACACTTGGTCTCTAGACCCTTCCCCAGCAGCTTCGTTGCCCTTCTCTGGACACGCTCCAGCCCCCCAGGGTCCTTCTTGGAGAGAAGGGCCCAATTCTACCCCACAGATCTTTTTTTCTGAAGAACAGTCACCACCCATGTGGATGCCAACTTCATTTTCCCAGATCCAGGACCTGCAGCAGCATCTGTTACTCCCAGATAGACAACCTCCTAACAAGATGTACATGTGTAACTCATGCCAGGAAAACCCAGCTCCCCTTTAAGGACAGTTACACTTCAAATAAGCCAGCACCTACTTGTTGTGGTGAGCAGAGCCCGCCCTAGGCAGGGATCAGCGTGCGGAAGATCTCGCGATGTAACGGAAAGCTCAGACTGCCCACGAGGGGCCTTGTGGGTGTGGCTTGTGCTATATAAGCAATTGCAGCTGCGCAATAAACGCCATTTGCAGCATCCTTCACATTGAAGCCAGTGTCTGTGATGGTACCCAACGGTAGAGGTTGGGTGGCAGAGATCCCGGGGATCGGGTGTCGGTAACGACACCTACTAACGGGAGAGAGCACAGAGTCCCAGCATGGTGGGGTTGGAAGGGACCTCTGGAGAGCATCTCATCCAACCCCCTGCTCCAGCTGCTCACCCACAGCAGGGTGCCCAGGATGGTGTCCAGGTGGGTTTGGGATCTCTCCAGAGAAGGAGACTCCACAGCCT